GCAAGCCATGGGATACTCATTTTTTGGAAGGGTCAAATCGGCTCTGCTGAAATTTGAACTTGTGAGACCAGGGAGTCTTAAGCATGGCAAACTCAGCTAACCCCTCTGCTTGGGTTAGGTACCTGACTGTCCCCCTAGCCCACCTTTGTCCTAGATCCTGGTATTTGAGGCCTAACCAGTTGCTGAAGGTAACAGAATTGTATCAAACTAGGTTTAAATTTATGTCTGCTCTTCTGTAATCCCACAGATGTGATGCTAATCCCCCTCCACACTGCAGTTGAATTTATTCAAGCCTTTTATCAAATGTCCTCCAGCTTGAACAAGCAACTGTTTGTTTATCCTCAGGCTGTGTTGGCATTCATGGTGTCAGCACTGTCTGTGAGCGTCCAGCTCTGCTGAGCTCCTTCAGTGCAGCCTCCTGGGGGGTCCCTACTCGCTCCCTGAATGTAGTGCTTTGGGTGTGGGGATGTTAATTTGACTGTGCTGTCTGCATTCCCCTAGTCAGTAGGCCGGCCTCCTCCAGCAGCCCTTTTGCTATTGTGGGCACCCAGGGCCTGATTTTCAGAAGGAGCTGTGGGATTCTGGCTTCGAAATCCCATGCAATGGCCAAATGAAGTTTGACTCTCCACTGAAATTGGAGTGAGGGGTGGGCATTTTGTGCCTGCCTTCCTGCTGACCACCTGCTCTTCTCCACGCTTTGTCCAGTGCTCCTGCCTCTCAGAGTAACTGGGGGTTTGCCCAGCTGTTGAGCAGCAATGCCTTACCCTTCTGGGGCATCTCACATGCGAAACCCTCAACATACTTTACAGGTCAACTCCACCTGGTAGTTCACCCCAGGGAGCCACCTGCATGTCAGATGAGGAGACAGGCACAATGATGCAAAATGAGTTTCGGGGTGGGGGTGGGGGTCCCCTGTTAGCAGCAAACTCAGGAGCAGAACCCAGATGTCCTGAGTCCTGTTTTCCCTCTCTACCCACTAGATGGCATTCTGGACCTGGTTCATATACAGTACAGGTTTCCCTCGCTTTATGCATTCCATGCATTCCTGGAAAACAGCACATAACTCAGATTCACATAAAGGGAATCCACTTCACAATGTAACAAATAGGGATACATTCCAAAATCTCAACTGTACTGACCCCCAGACCCATTTCTACCACTGTTACAAGACAATTTTGGTACTCTCCAACAGCAGACAGTGCACACAAGCACAGGGTTCTCTTGCACTTCATTGATGGACCAGGCAGAGGGGCAGGAGATAAGCTAGCGAGACACTTAGAAGCCATAATGGGGATGGCAACTACAGAAACACATGCTGCAGACAGCAAGTGAGGAGCACACAGGAGACTATATTTTGGTGCGTATCATTCCCATTATGCACCACACAAAGCAGCTGACTACGGGCTTCCACCACACCACTTGCATAAGAGTGAATTTACCTCACATATAACAAATTTTTGGTATAAAAAGGGTCATCGCACACGAGCATATTTACACATGCAGAACCCGCATAAAGCAAGGGAAACCCCTAGACAAGCTTGTCACAGAAAGGAGCTAACAGAAATCTTACTAGATCACAGCTATCCCGTCCAGCCTTGCGAGGCACAGAGCAGTTGGATGTGGGAGCCCTGTAGATTGTCTCAAACAGGTTTCAAGGCTGGGCAACAGGAAAGGAAAACGATTGCCTGGAGTCTGGCTGTTCATTGACCTTCTCCCCAATCCTCATGACAGCTTCTCATCTCCCTGTTCCATTAGTGTGTGCTCTCAGGGATCAGCAAACTATGGCTCAGAGCCATTTTATCTGACCTGTGGGCCCAGGGAACTTCCGTGGCATTTTGGTGTCAGGGTCTTCGGCAGCGTTTCTGCAGCAGGGAGCAGCGTGGTGGCAGGGAAG